GGATAGACTACTGCAACACACTCTACTTGGGGTTGCCTTTGAAGACTGTTCGGAAACTTCAGTTAGTCCAGTGGGCGGCAGCCAGATTACTCACCGGAGCATCATACAGAGAGCATACCACCCCTCTGCTATATCAGCTCCACTGGCTGCCGATCCAGTTCCGAGCACAATTCAAAGTGCTGGTTTTGACCTACAAACCCTATACGGCTCTGGTCCGGCGTACCTGTCCGAATGCATCTCCCTCTACGTCCCACCTCGGAATCTGAGATCATCTGGGGAGGCCCTGCTCTCGACCCCACCTCTATCACAAGTGAGGCTGATGGGGACGAGGAGCAGGGCCTTCTCGGTGGTGGCCCCTCACCTGTGGAACTCGCTCCCGGGGGAAATCAGATCAGCAACATCCCTCCTCTCCTTTAGAAGGAAATTAAAAACGTAGTTATGGGACCAGGCCTTCGGGCAACCTGACAGTTAAGGACAATGGACGACTAGAATTAACAGGACTGACAATGTGGAATTGAAACTGTGGACTATGAGACGGCGAACGCTGAATGTTAAACTGGTTTATTGACATGTTGTGGAACTGAGAACCGACCGTTTTCAACTGTTTAATTGCTGCTATACTGTTGTATTGTATTGTATTGCTGTATTGTTGCCGGCATCGAATTGTGCCTTTGTAAGCCGCTCTGAGTCCCCCTCGGGGTGAGAAGGGCGGGGTAGAAGTGTCCGAAATAATAATAATAAGCTTCAAATAGTCCAGTGAGAGGCAGCCAGGTTAATAACTGGGGTGGCTTACAGGGAGCATACAACTCGCATGTTACACCAGCTCCACTGGCTGCCAGTTTGCTACCGGACACAATTCAAAGTGCTGGCTTTGGCCTAGAAAGCCCTAAATGACCCTGGCCCAAGTTACCTGTCCAAACGCATCTCCCCCTATGAACCATCGCAGAGATTAAGATCCCCCTCCAGGGAGGCCCTGCTTTCCGTCCCACCATTGTCACAGGCATGATTGGTAGGGACGAGAGACAGGTCCTTCTCGGTGATTAAAACTTGTGCGCCAGCTGCGCCCGTACCTTGGGAAGTCTGACTTGGCCACGGTGGTCCACGCTTTGGTTACATCCCATTTAGACTACTGCAACGCTCTCTACGTGGGGTTGCCTCTGAAGACTGCCCGGAAGCTGAAGTTAGTCCAACGCTCGGCAGCCAGACTCCTAACGGGTGCTGGGTCCAGGGAGCACACCACTCCGCTGTTACACCAGTTCCACTGGCTGCCAATTAGCTTCTGAGCACAATTCAAAGTGCTGGTGTTAACCTATAAAGCCCTCAACGACTCCGGCCCTGTTTACCTCTCCGAACGTATTCTCCCCTATGAACCATCAAGATTATTAAGATCGTCTGGAGAGGCCCTGCTCTCGGTCCCACCGGCCTCGCAAGTGCGTCTGGTGGGGACGAGGGACAGGGCCTTCTCGGTGGTGGCCCCTCGACTCTGGAACTCTCTCCCACTGGAGATCAGAACCGCCCCGTCTATCCTGACATTTAGGAAACAGGTGAAGACCTGGTTATGGAGACAGGCATTCGACGAGTGAGCCAACACCCTGAGATATGGAAGGAGGATGATGAGCAACGATTTTAGTGTGACGACTGACCATTGTAGTTATTGATTGTAATGGCTGTTTTCATGTTTTACTGTAATATGTATTATGATGTTTTATTGATTGTATGTGATATTATGGTTGGAAACCGGTCTGAGTCCCTCAAGAGAGGTGAGAAGGCCGGTATACAAAACTTTTAAATAAATAAAGAAATGATTGCCCCTGGCTATGGAACTCCCTTGCTGGTGAGATCGGGTCGGCCCCCTCTCTTCTGTCCTTTAGAAGGATGGTCAAAACTTGGCTGTGGGACCAAGCTTTCGGGACAAGGCAATAAAGTGACAATAGGAAAGATGACCAGGCCAATTAGATTTGATGCGGATGACTTTTAAATGGTGTATTTTAATATGGAGATTTTTATTTATTTATTTATTTATATTTATGCCATTTTCCTTTACAGTGAAAGAGGGAGAACAATCATTGTGATAGAAAGTTATGAGATTCAGACAGACCGTGGAGGTGGAATAGAGGGGTAAGGAGAAGATGGGGGGGGGGGGGGATAGGAAAGAGGGGGAGGGGAAGTTTATTTATTTATTATAAGTTGGGGGGTGCAGTTCAAACAAGTGTGTGCGTCACTTCCGTTCAGTCCACAGAGGAATAATTATCCGTTTCATTGCTCCTTTTTCTTATTTTTAACTACTCTAATTCTTCTTACCCATAGACCTTATATGTCTAATTTGAGTTTCTTTTTCAAATATTCTTCCAGATTATTCCAGTTTATCTGCTTAAATATATTTTGTTCCTCTAATTGACTCAATAGTCTTTCACAGTTCTTGAAATCTATTATCTTCTTCAACCAATCTTTATCCGTAGGAATCCCTTTACTTTAACATTTTTGTGCTATTAATATTTTGGCTGCCGACGAGAAGTAAAAAAAAAAAAAATTCTTCATTTTTCTTTAGGCCTAAATCCGTTATGTTCAGTAAATATATTTGGGTTTGAGATCAAACTTTGTTTTGATGATATTTTGTGTATGCTTGTGAACCGTTGTCCAAATTTTTTTGATCATTTTACAATTCCAATACAAGTGGAAGTATCAGGCCCGTAGCCAGGATTTCGTTTCGGGGGGGGGGGGCTGAATTTTTTTCCAGGGGGGGTTTCGGGGGGGGGGGGCTGAGTCTGAGTGAAAGAGGGGCTAGCCTAGCAAACCTTTTGTATTGTTACCCCAATACCCCCATGCATATGGGATATATTGAGTATGGTGATCAGATCATGATATGAATAACCATAACAGGTGCAGCTGGTGGGGACGAGAGACAGGGCCTTTTCTGTAGTGGCCCCTCAGCTCTGGAACGCCCTTCCCATGGAGGTAAGATCAGTATTCCGAAAAAGACTAAAAACTTGGATGTTCAAGCAGGCATTTGGTTAATTCGGTGCAATGAATGTGTTGATTACGGATTGGTAATATGGATGATGAAATTGGACCAGGATTTTAGTTAGGAGATGTATTGGACTGTGATTTACGTGTAATATTGTGTATTATGTTTTTATGGTTTTAATTGTATACTGTGCACTGTATATTTTGTTGTAAACCGCGTTGAGTCGCCAGTTAGGCTGAGAAACGGCGGTATACAAGGACAGTAAATAAATAAACAAACAAATAAATAAATAAATAATGCACCATTAAGGCCTTTTCGCGAACCACCATGAAAATTTCGGGGGGGGGCTGAAGCCCCCCGAGCCCCCCCCCCCCCGGCTACATGCCTGGGAAGTATGTTCCAGCCTCTTTTCCACACTTCCAGCAATGCGTATTATAATTTTTGCTAAATTTTGCTAATTGGGCAGGTGTCAAACGCCATCTATAAAAGATTTTGTACCAGTTCTCTACTACACTGCTGGCTCTAGTATACTTTAACTTAACCTTCCATACTTGTTCCCATTCGCTTAATAATATAGAATGGCCAATATCTCTGGCCCACTTAATCATATTTCCTTTTACTAGTTCCTTCTCGTTACTCCATTCTAACAGATTTCGATATAAAATCCTAATCAGTTTCTTATCCTTTTTCATAATTATGTCCCAGCATGTGTCCTGTTCACTAAATCCCACTTTTAGATCTACCTTTAGAGTTTCTTTAATTTGTAAATATTGTAGCCAATTTAATTCTTTGTCCTCCCTCTTTAGTTCTTCCATAGACCTTAAATGCCATTCGTTGTTAATTTTAACCAGTAGTTGCCTGTAGCTGAGCCATCTATTTTTCGGTATTTCTCTTTTGTGATATGCCTCTATTGGCGATGTCCACATGGGTATTCTAGGATACATGATGTCTTTATATTTATTCCAAGTCTTTAGAAGAGGACCTCTGATAAAATGGTTGGTAAAATTATTTTCTATCTTTGCCTTTTGTTGTTGTTCATTCGTTCAGTCGTCTCCGACTCTTCGTGACCTCATGGACCAGCCCACGCCAGAGCTCCCTGTCGGCCGTTACCACCCCCAGCTCCTTCAAGGTCAGTCCAGTCACTTCAAGGATGCCATCCATCCATCTTGCCCTTGGTCGGCCCCTCTTCCTTTTGCCTTCCACTTTCCCTAGCATCATTGTCTTCTCTAGGCTTTCCTGTCTCCTCATGATGTGGCCAAAGTACTTCAACTTTGTCTCTAGTATCCTTCCCTCCAATGAGCAGTGGGCTTTATTTCCTGGAGGATGGACTGGTTGGATCTTCTCGCAGTCCAAGGCACTCTCAGAACTTTCCTCCAGCACCACAGCTCAAAAGCATCGATCTTCCTTCGCTCAGCCTTCCCTAAGGTCCAGCTCTCACATCCGTAGGTTACTACAGGGAATACCATGGCTTTGACTAGGCGGATCTTTGTTGCCAGTGTGATGTCTCTACTCTTTACTATTTTATCGAGACTGGACATTGCTCTCCTCCCAAGAAGTAAGCGTCTTCTGATTTCCTGGCCACAGTCTGCATCTGCAGTAATCTTTGCACCTAGAAATACAAAATCTGTCACTGCCTCCACGTTTTCTCCCTCTATTTCCCAGTTGTCAATCATTCTTGTTGCCATAATCTTGGTTTTTTTTATATTTAGCTGCAACCCAGCTTTTGCGCTTTCTTCTTATATATGTATAATATAGGGCTGGGCGGTTTCGTTTCGTTAATTCGTAATTCGTTAATAATTCGTTAATTTTTTTAATTACAAAACGATAACGAACCATTCTGGAGCAATTTTTTAAAAAAACGAATTTTTAAATAGTTTGCAAATGCTTCGTATTTCGTTATTGTATTCGTTTCGTTATTGTTTTGAGGTCGTTTCGTTATTATTTCCGCATGTCTGGGGCAAGTTTTATGGTTGTTTTTTGTTTAATTAGTGAAAAAAAATTATAATATCACACCAACAGTCAACAACAGAGGGAGAGGGAAGCTTCAGAAGTTTTTGGAGGTTTTTTAGCGTATTTCGCGGTCGCGTCCGCCATTAACGAATCGATTCGTTATTGTTTCGGAAATCGATTCGTTGATGTTTTGTAATTTTTTTTGCATTTACGAAATTTCGTAAATATCGAACTTTTTTAAAGGAAAATTTTGTAATTATTTTAAATAACGAAACGCAAAAAAACCCAAAAAACGAATCGATTTTAGAAACAAATTTTTCTGTTGTTACCCAGGCCTATTAAATAGGTGTGCCACCCTCTTCTAATGTCATAACCTTCTATAGTTAATATTTTTTTTTGCTCCAGGGTAGCCCATATTTTCACCCATGATAGAGCACAGGCCTCAAAATAAAGTTGCATGTCCGGCATAGCTAATCCTCCCCTACTTCTGGCGTCTGTAAGATTTTTTTATCTTTATCCTGGCTTTTTTCCCCTCCCATATGAAATTTAGCATATCTCTGTTCCATTTTTGGAAACTAGGCCTGGGTAACAACGGAAAAATTTGTTTCTAAAATCGATTCGTTTTTTGGGGTTTTTTTGCGTTTCGTTATTTAAAATAATTACAAAATTTTCCTTTTAAAAAGTTCAATATTTACGAAATTTCGTAAATGCGAAAAATTATAAAACATTAACGAATCGATTTCCGAAACAATAACGAATCGATTCGTTAATGGCGGACGCGACCGCGAAATACGCTAAAAAACCTCCAAAAACTTCTGAAGCTTCCCTCTCCCTCTGTTGTTGACTGTTGGTGTGATATTATAATTTTTTTTCACGAATTAAACAAAAAACAACTATAAAACTTGCCCCAGACATGCGGAAATAATAACGAAACGACCTCAAACCAATAACGAAACGAATACATAACGAAATACGAAGCATTTACAAAACGTTTTTGAAAATTCGTTTTTTTAAAATAATTGCTCCAGAATGGTTCGTTATCGTTTTGTGATTGCAAAAATTAACGAATTATTAACGAATTACGAATTAACGAAACGAAACCGCCCAGCCCTATTGGAAACACGTGTTAGTCTTAATGATTGGGATCATTAATGTTTTTTAATGTTTATGTATTGTATGTGAACTTGTGTCCCGGCATTGAATGTTTGATGTGTATATGCCGTGCTCCACCCTGAGTCCCCTTCAGGCTGAGAAGGGCGGAATATAAATGTCTTAAATAAATAAAATAAATACATTTAACCTTCTTGAGGAGTGTGAATGGCCTCCCAACTTTGCAACGGTCCAGCACGAGAAAGGGACAAAAAGCACAAGACGGCGGAGCGCCTCCTTTTCCGTTTTCTTTTTGCACAAAACAGAACATTTATTCAAGTGTTCTCCAGCACAAAGTACATCAGCAAGGAGCCTTCCTTATTTGAGTGTTCTGGGCACAAAAGAAAGATGCAAAGGATGGGATGGCTGCGGCGGCGGCGGCGGAACGGACAGACTTTCTAACATCTGCTGCACCATTGACCTTTTAATTAGTTTATCAAACAGCTATGTCACGAGCAATACTTACACAGAGATACAAGCGCCTGCCCACGGGGATGGGGAGCCAGCCTTGCCTCCCCCCACCCACCCCGGGCAGGGCAGAACCATACTCTGAAATGTACATTATTATTTATTTGTCAATAAATATAGAAGCAACCCTAAAAAATAAAAAGAATAACAAAGCGGCAGAAAGGATGGGGCATTCCCCAAATCATCCGGGAAATGAAAAGAAAAGCCAGGCGAGGGTGCAGGTGGGTGGGTATGGGCCTGGGAAGGAAGGAAGGAAGTGGAAGGGAAGGGAGGGAAGGAAGGGGAAGAATGGAAGTGGAAGAGGAGGGAAGGAAGAAAGGTAGGAAGGAAAAAAGGAAGAATGCAAGGAGGTGGAAGGGGAGGGAGGGAGGAAGGGAAGGAAGGAAGGAAGGAAGGAAGGAAGGAAGGAAGGAAGGGAAGGGGAAGAATGGAAGTGGAAGGGGAGGGAGGGAAGGAAAAGGAAGAATGAAAGGAAGTGGAAGGGGAGGGAAGGAGGGAAGGAAGTAAGAAAAAAGAATGGAAGGAGGTGGAAGGGGAGGGAGGGAGGGAAGGAAGGAAGGAAGTAAAAGGAAGAATGGAAGGAAGTGGAAGGGGAGGGAGGGAAGGAAGTAAAAGCAAGAATGGAAGGAACTAGGGAGGGAAGGAAGGAAGGGAGGGAGGGAGGAAGAAAAAGGAAGAATGGAAGGAAGTGGAAGGGAATGAAGGAAGGAAAAGAATGGAAGGAAGTGGAAGGGGAGGGAGAGAAGGAAGGAAGAAAAAGGAAGAATGGAAGGAAGTGTAAGGGGAGAGAGGGAGGCAGGGAAGAAAGGAAGAAAAAGGAAGAACGGAAGGAGGTGGAAGGGGAGGGAAGGAAGGAAGAAAAGGAAGAATGGAAGGAAGTAGAAAGGGAGGGAGGGAAGGAAGGAATCATAGAGCTGGAAGAGAGCTTGTGAGCCATCCAGTCCAACCCCCTGCCAAGAAGCCGGAAGGAGAAAAGGAAGGAAGGAGATGGAGAAAGAAATGAGGGAGGAAAGGAAGGAAGGAAGGAAGGAAGGAAGGAAGGAAGGAAGGAAGGAAGGAAGGAAGGAAGGAGGGGAAAAAGGAGAGAATGGTTTCCGGGTGGAGCTGCTGCGTGGAATGTCGGGCGGCTGGAGGGCAGGGAAACAGGCTGGAGCTCTTTCCAGGATCTCCACAGATTACTCGTCAGCATGAATACATGATTTCCCACAAACAGTAAAGCGTCTCAGCTACTTCAATGACTAGGCTAAAACACATGAAATCTTTTCCTTTAGGTTTCAAGTACAAAGTTAAAATGCCTTTTTTTTAATAATAATATATAAGAGTAAAATAATAGAGCTCTTTTAAACTCCACTACAAGAAAACAAAAACAGTCATTGTCCAGACAGCAGACTTAAGTTAACAATAGATCTGTAATAAAACGGTTTAGCACCTTGGTTGTCACCTCGTCCCTCTGCAGATGCCAAAGGAATTCAGGCAATCCTGGGTGGGTGGGTGGGGCAGGTTTAGGGGCCGGGTTGCTTGGCTTTTTTCAGTCTAGGGCTGTGCAACCTGACAGAGGGACCTTTGTAAAAGGGGGGGGGGGGTTCTGAGTCAAGTCTGTTTGTCCAGTCCGTCCCTCCTCCCCCTCCCCCCACCCTCTGGAGGGAAAACGGGTGGGGGGCTCTGTGGCAGACAGCAAAACAGGCCCAAGACAAAGACTCTGGGGGGATTGGACAGACAAAAGAAGGCTTCCCCACTTCCAGGTTGGGCAAGGGGGCGCACAATGGGGAGGGCCCTTCTCGGCCTGACAGCTGCGGAGTTGGGGGGGGGGCAGATATGGGAGATGCAGCGAGCGCTGAGCCGCTGGATCGAGACCTCGAACTGGGGGACGGTGTGGCCAACCTCTCGGCTAAACCTATACTCTGAAAGGAAGGCGCTGGAGAAGAGCCAGGCGTCGCTTCTGTGAGCACTTCGTAAGGTTCTTCTCCAAAGCGTAGCTTCTAAAAAAGGGGTTGGTGCACCTGGAACAGTCGGCTCCCCGCTGCCCACTCCCCCCTCGGGAGCCTCCGCTCCTTTTCCAACCCCTTGGCTCAGGTGGCCCTGCGTGGGAAGTCGGCACGGGCAAATCATGGTTACAACAGGGTCTCCTAGTTCCCATTTAGCACCAGTGAAACTCAACAAGAAGAGGGCGGCAGAGGGAACGTTTCCCTCTCTGTACTTGTCGCCTCTGTGGCAAGTAGGTTGGGAAAGGCGGCGGGTGGGTTAGAAATCTTGCAAAATGACTGGGGTGGGAGGTGGTGCTCAAACTGAGACACCGCCGGCCCTAACAGCCCAGTATGTATGTGTATGTGTGTGTGTTTGGCGGGGTGGACGTTAGAATTAAAAGAGAGTGTGAGGGGGGCTGCCAGCCACAGGCACCAGCTGGAGGGGCACCCCAATTGTGCCCCACCCAGAGGGCTCCGCCACGCTCCCTTCCCCACCAGACCCTGAGTGAGACCCCCCAGCACCCTTCACAGTTTGAAGGGAAGTGAGTGGAGACGCCTGCTCGCCACCCCAACTGACTCCCTGAAATATTATTAGCACCAAGGCCAGCGGCCTTTCCTCGGGGCATTCCCGCCTGAGGAGGGCTGTCCTGGGGGAGCACTGGCCAGGGGACGAGGTGGGCGAGAGGCGCCCCCCGCCCAGCCCCCACACTTTGCCTCAGCACCCCGAGAGCACCATGGACGCAGGCCGGGAAGACGGGAGCAGAGGGGAGATGCCGTCCCCCTGGAGAGGCCGAGATGGGGGAGCTGCTGAGGCAGAGAGCTTCTCTCAGGGGGTCTCCAACCCCACTTCCCATTAGCACCAAGGGCTCAGGACCCCCGTCGGGAGCAATCCCCCCAAAACGGAAGGGAATGGCAGACTCGCGTCCGCAGCACAACCGGCTGCCCCTCGTGCCTCCTGCCTCAGGGTCTCGCAGGCAAAGGGTTGCTTTCCCGTTGCCGAAGGAGTAAAGTGCACACAATTGCCAAGAAAATGTGACCCGAAATCGTGGCCTCCTTGCACAAGAACTGTCCCCGGAAGTCCCCCACCTGCCCTTCGCCACCTCCTCCAAGTGCGTGTCTCTGAGTGGGAGTTGGAGGGCAGCGCAGCCAGAGTCTGATCAAGCAAAACAGGAAGTCTACAATTCACATCAGCCATAAACAGAAGAGGGGGAGAAGGGAGGCAGCAGGCGCTGACCCTCCAAGAACCACGTGAGATCGCGGAGGAACGACATGGGGTGCCAGGGCAGGGCGGGGAGCTCTTCCATCTCCCACCCTCAGGATATCCTGCATTTGGGGCAAAAACGGGGAAGGAAGGAAAGAGCGGAACCATAGACCTCGCAAGGGACTCTGCAGCCTGGGAGTTGGGAGGTGACCAAAAGGGGCACTGCTGGGTCCGGCTGGGGGGCGGCCGGCCGGCCTCCCCATCTTTGAGCCAGGGAGGGGGCCCAGAGCGCGCCGACTGCGGGAAAGCACCACTGAATGTGTAGGGCCGCCATGGGGAGCTCTACAGGGGGACTGGGAGGCCCAAGCCCCTGGCCTGAGGGAGGAGGGTTGCCTCTTGGGACACAAAAGCAATTATTGCATTGACACCCAGGGCAGAGGAGGGTGCCTCTCTGCTGCCTGCCTGCCTGCTTGCCTGCCCTCCCTTTGCCACTGCCTTTGCAAGAAGGGGCCCCGATCCGGGCCCCTTCTTCTCCTCCTCCTCCCCTTCGCCTGGCAGGCTGGCACTTGAAGCACCGCAGAAGCTGCCCTTCAGCCCCACCCCCTGCTGTTGTAGAAGCACCATTTTGAAAGTCAGTTGTACAGTAGTAACAGTACCTTTTTTATATATATAGACATTTCTTTAGCATAACTCTCACATATATATAAACTGTAAACAAGAGGTAAGAGCGGCTGTAGGAGCTGGGCTTTTATCAAGGTCTCCTGTGTGGTAGGCACCCAAATACTATAGAAAAGTGTGTAGATGTGTGTGGTGTGGGGGGGCATCGGGGGGACCGGGGAAGGGGCTCGGCGGGGCTTGCGGCTTCCCCAGCTTGCGCTCCTCCCTGGAGCGGGGCTGGAAAGTGCGGCGCGCCCCACTTTTGTGCTCCTCAACTGAGCGGGGGCAACGTTGCCCCGCGGCCTGCTCAGCTTTGGCCTCGGCTGGAATTTCCTCTGTTGCGGTCGGTGGCGCCCGAGGCCAGGCCCGCACTTTGTGGGGCCCGGCGAGGAGAGGCAGAAACCAAACTAACAGACAAACCCCAGAAAGAGCAGGAAATTAAAGGGCGGTTGCCAACGAGAGCGGGACCGGCGGGTTGGGCTTAGGGTGGCTCGAACTGGGGAGAGGATGGGTGAAGACCTGGGCGGCGGGAGCCCGCGCCCACGGGCAGGGGTCCTCTCCCTCCCTCCCTCCTCCCTCTCGCCCACTGGCCACCTCCTCCGTTCTGGGGCACTTCGCTTCTGTTCCTGGGGGTGGTTGTGTTGAGACGCCTCCTCCTCCGCTCGGACAGTTCAATGAGTGCGCCTCTTAAACGCAGGCAAAGTACTCCTTCAGCGGGGCGAAGAGGTGGCGGATCACGGGGACGCTCCAAGAGCGGCCGAGCAGTCTCTGCCTCGCCAGGCGGCTCATGTTGGACACGTCTGTGTAGTGGACCGGGAAACCAAAGACCCTGTGGGCGCAGGAAAGAGAGAGTGGTCAGGACCGGTATTTATCGTGTCATCAGCAATCAGACATTTGTATTACATTTTTAACAAAAACAAACAAACAGACAGACAAAACACAGAATTTGCAAGCTTGGTATTCTATTAACTGTCCTTTGACCAGTATCTGTTCACTTGGCGTGCCTCTGGTGTTGCCGGACCTCTTCCATTATGTCCATCTCCTTCCTGAATTGTGGTGCCCAGACCTGGACTGTGTTATTATTTCAGGTTATTTATTTATCTATCATGTCAGGAGTGAACCAAACAGTTGTATTGCATTTTTTTAACAAACAAACAAAGCACAAAGTTTGCAAGCTTGGTAGTGGATTAAATGTCCTTTGACCAGTATCTGGCCACTTGGAGTGCCTCTGGTGTTGCTGCAAGAAGGTCCTCCCTTGTGCGTGTGGCAGGGCTCAGGGTGCATTGCAACAGGTGGTCTCTGGTTTGCTCTTCTCCACACTCACATGTCGTGGACTCCACTTTGTGGCCCCATTTCTTCAAGGTTGGCTCTGCATCTTATGGTGCCAGAGCGCAGTCTGTTCAGCGCCTTCCAAGTCGCCCAGTTTTCTGTGTGCCCTGGGGAGAGTCTCTCATTTTGTATCAGCCATTGATTGAGGTTCTGGGTTTGAGCCTGCCACTTTTGGACTCTCGCTTGCTGAGGTGTTCCAGCGAGTGTCTCTGTAGATCTTAGAAAACTATTTCTAGATTTAAGTCGTTGACGTGCTGGCTGATACCCAAGCAGGGGATGAGCTGGAGATGTCTCTGCCTTGGTCCTTTCACTATTGGCTGCTACTTCCCGGCGGATGTCAGGTGGTGTGATACCGGCTAAGCAGTGTAATTTCTCCAGTGGTGTAGGGCGCAGACACCCCGTGATAATGCGGCATGTCTCATTAAGAGCCACATCCACTGTTTTAGCGTGGTGAGATGTGTTCCACACTGGGCATGCAGACTCAGCAGCAGAGTAGCACAGCGCAAGGGCAGATGTCTTCACTGTATCTGGTTGTGATCCCCAGGTTGTGCCAGTCAGCTTTTGTATGATATTGTTTCTGGCACCCACTTTTTGCTTGATGTTCAGGCAGTGCTTCTTGTAGGTCAGAGCACGGTCCAGAGTGACTCCCAGGTATGTGGGTGTGCAGCAATGCTCCAGTGGGATCCCTTCCCAGGTGATCTTCAGAGCTCGGGATGCTTGTCTGTTCTTAAGGTGAAAGGCACATGTCTGTGTTTTAGATGGATTAGGGATCAGCTGGTTTTCCCTGTAATAGGCAGTAAGAGCACCTAGAGCTTCGGAGAGCTTCTGTTCAACCATCTCAAAGCTCCCTGCTTGAGCAGTGATGGCACGATCATCAGCATAGATGAAACTCTCTGTCCCTTCTGGCAGTGGCTGATCATTTGTGTAGATGTTGAACATGGATGGAGCAAGCACGCTCCCCGGAGGCAGGCCGTTCTTCTGTTTGATAATGTTGTATATTTTATTGTCTATGTGTTTATTTTTATTGTTTGTACTGTGTTTATTATTGCTTGTATTGTTGTATTTGGGCTCGGCCTCATGTAAGCCGCACCGAGTCCTCTGGGGAGATGGTGGCGGGGTACAAATAAAGTGTTATTAAAGCCATTATAAATACTGTAAATAAACAGATTAATTATGGATCAAAAATGGGAGGGCCACCCCATGGAAACAACAGGCGAGGTGGCTAGAGGGAGGCTGTGGCCTGGGCTGTGGGGCAAGGGATGGCTCTGACCTTCTACGAGAGAGAGGTGGAAGCAAAACTCCCACCTAGGACAACTCCTGAGACAATGCACGACAAACAGGTTCGCACCTTGGGAATGATCCTGGACTCTTCGCTGAGCCTGGAATCTCAGGTTTCAGCGGTGGACGGGAGAGCTTTTGCACAACTACAACTTGTGCACCAGTTGCGCCCGTATCTTGGGAAGTCTGATCTGGCCACAGTGGTCCATGCTCTTGTTACATCCCGAATAGACTACTGCAGCACACTCTACGTGGGGTTGCCCTTGAAGACTGTTCGGAAACTTCAACTGGTCCAGTGAGCGGCAGCCAGATTGCTCACCGGAGTGACATACAGGGAGCACCCCCCCCCCCCCCCCCCCCCCGCTGTGTCAGCTCCACTGGCTGCCGGTTCAGTTCCGAGCACAATTCAAGGTGCTGGTTTTGACCTACAAAACCCTGTACGGTTCCGGTCCAGTGTATCTGTCTGAACATATCTCCCTCTACGTCCCACCTCAGAATTTGAGATCATCTGGGGAGGCCCTGCTCTCGACCCCACCTCTATCACAAGTGAGGTTGGTGGGGACGAGGAGCAGGGCCTTCTCAGTGGTGGCCCCTCACCTGTGGAACTCACTCCCGGGGGAAATTAGGGCATCAACATCCCTCCTCTCCTTCAGGAGGAAGGTAAAGACGTGGTTGTGGGACCAGGAATTGAGCCCCATTCCCAGCCCCAAGGCACCCCCGTTGCCTCACCTCTCCATCTCGGTACACCACAAGATGTCTTCCTTCTCGTTCATGAAGACGGGGAAGTGCTGGTCCTTGCCTTGCTTGATGGAGTTGGAGCGAGTGGTGATGGTTCGGACTTTGCTGAACTGGAACAAACACACAAACCCGAAAAGACAACATTAGGGGGTCCTGGCTGCTTCCTCTTCCTCTCAGGATTTTTGCTTTTGGGCTCTCAGGGGCCCAAAGGGAAGGCCCTTCTATTACTAGCCAATGACAATGCAATAGGAAGCCCCTGTGGGGCAAACTTTCTAACTTGGGGGCCACATGCTAGCACTCCCTGCGAGGAGGAGTGACGAAAGGATGGAAGGAGAAAGAGGGAGGAAGAAGAGAAGGAAGGGAGGAAGAAAGGAAGGCAGGAATGGAAGGAGGAAGGAAAGGAAGAAGGAAGGATGAAAGGGTGGAAGTGAATGGAGGGAGGGAGAAAGAGGGAAAGAAAGGCAAAAGGGAAGGAAGGGAGGAGAAAGGAGAGAGGGAAGGAAAGTGAAAAGAAGGACAAAAGGGTGGAAGGGAAGGAAGGAGGGCAAAGATAAAGAGCTAACTGGCCTTGAAGATAGTGGAGATTTAATTAGAGAAGACCGTTTGTAATTAAGAGTTTGGAGAAGCGCACGCCTTGCCAACAAGCGTGAAGCTAGAGGTCAACGTAATGCTTTCATATTTATTTATTTATTTCGCGCATTTCTACCCCGCCCTTCTCAAGCGGGCGGTATGAGAAGTAGGGAAGTGCAGCCCTTTCCTGAGATCCTTGCAGACCCTTTCTTGGCCCCACGGCGCACCCCCTTGCAACGACTTCCCATGCTCACCTTGGCTATCCTGCCATGCTCCAGACACTCCTGCAGTTCCAGCTTGTCATTCACAGTTGACGCCAGTGGCCTGGAGAGAGGACAAGAGACCCGTAGATTGACATCTCAACAAGCCCAAACCTTATACTTCCAATAAACTCCCATTACAATGGCCCTGCACCCACAACTTCTCTCCTTGCAATATTTCCTCTTTATATTCAAAACGTTTGATTTGCTGGGTTGTTGTAGGTTTTTTTTGGGCTATATGGCCATGTTCTAGAGCAGTGGTTCTCAACCTTCCTAATGCCGCGACCCCTTAACACCCTTCCTCATGTTATGGTGACCCC